CAAAACATGTTTTGCCACAAAGCTCCCTGATGAACTAATCCACCCTAAAACCGTGGTGGCGAAGATATGGCACACGGAGCCATTTCTGAGGGCACTCGAGGCGTTGCACTGTCAGCTCCTTTTCAGCCTTGATTTTCTGCCGTTCAGGAACGGACTTCCAGTTTGCACATTTGCACCCTCCAAAGACTTCAGGGAAGCCTCCTGAAACCTCCGGAGGGAGAAAACTGACCCTATGAGCAACCTGGAAGTCTGTTCCTGAACTTCTGGTTTGCCCATAGGGCTGGTTTTTCGTGATCCGGAAGCTTCAGGGAAGCTCCTGAAACTTCTGGAGGGTGAAAAATGACCTCAAAAAAAGGCCAAAGTCAACTGGCCAGCTTGTGCGCATGCGTGCTGGCCAGCTGACAGGGCAACGTCTCATGTGCCCGCACAAATGGCTCCATGTGCCATCTGTGGCATGCATTCTATAGGTTTGCCCTCACGGAATTAAAGTAAATATAGGGAAAAGGTCACATATTATAGAAATATGTGTCACATGTGCACAGCTCATATGGACTTCAGCAGAATTTAAGTGGAAACATGTTTATGTTTGTAAGTATTTTCTTTTTTACTGAGATAACCTATTTGGGTGAGGCATATTTGTATACTAATTCTGTTATACATTATTTGGTTACAGTGATGATGATTTCTTTTTTTGTGATGTATTAATATGATTTGTAGATAAAGGAAAATAAAATATGCATGGATTTAAATTTAGTTTAACCACTGATTAGTTTGTGTGAAGCTGTTCTTTTATTCTTCAGGGGTTGCCTGACACAGGAGAAGATAGTGGCTGGTTGTGCAAAAAGCTTCATAGTTATTGCTGATTACAGGTAAAATTATTTAGTGCTCCTTGTTGTGGTTTCCCCTTTAAGAAGCTGCAGAAAGGGCTGTATTATTCATAACAGTTTTCATATTAATTTATATCAGAATTTATATCAGAATATATCCAATCTAGTTTTACTTAAGCCGTTGTGGGTTGAAATGTTGCATTATATCATGTCCCCATGTATGAAGTTTTAACAGGATTTGGATGTAAAATTCTGTTATTTAGAGATATACATAGAGTATATCCTAAGTGGTATTTTTACTTTCTATAATCATCAGGTGGCAGTACTCCATTGGTTTTCTTCTCAATTAGGCCATGTCAAACTTGTCTGGATATATACATGTGAACTGGTCGCTATATAAGGTGAAGCCAGTGGTGGTCTCTAAAAGTACTTGAGCTTACATGTAACTCCAAAAATACATGTATACATTACCATATTTTCCGGCGTATAAGATGACTTTTTAACCCAAAAAATTGTTTCAAAAATCGGGGGTTGTCTCATACACCGAGAATAAGAAAGGCCATACCAAAAAAACCAAAACAAAACCATCAACCGGTGTATACAAAAATAAAAGAATGATATTGACGTTGATTAAAAACATCTTCATTTGAATGAGGTTGTTTGGGGGGAAAAAAACTAGCTGCCCTTCTCAGCTCGCCATTCGCTCCTCATCCGCTCCATTGCCCCTGCCAATCTGCCCTGCACCTTGGGGATCCAAGTACCACCTCCCTGCCTGGCTGGGCTATTGCACTGCTATTAGCAGGCGAAGGAGTTGACAGGCTCGCTGCTGGTGCTGGTTCGGAGTGCTCCGCTGCTGCTGGTCCCCCTCATGCTTTGCCACCCTCGTCCTCTTTGCAGGGGCCCAGCAGGGTAAATGAGGCGCTCGTAGCCCCGGAGATAGGCACAGTAGAAGGGGGCCTGCCCTTGGAAAGCGTAAGACTTGGAGGTCTCCCTCCTCCTCCCGGCTTGGCCCTTTCTCACTCACTGTTGAGGCTCGGAAGGGAACTGGTTAAGGTGAAGCCAGAGCATCGGTCGCTTCATGTGGGATTGCACTGGAGCTCCGTCTGCAGTGTGTGTGTGTGTGTGTGTGTAGCTCCTGCACTGAAATTCCAACGCAGGCAGACACGTGCGTGCACCCCCGTCTTAATCACGTTAATTTAGTAGTCGTTGTCATGTGTTGCATGATGTTGGTGTCTGTGGAGGGCCTGTCTTCTCATTAAAAGTTTGGTGACTGAAATAATAGGCAAGGAGAGCTGGGCCAGGGATTAAAAAGGAACAAGCTGATCTTTCTCATATAGTGGAATTCCATAGGTAATCAAAACAGTCTTTCCTGATATGCTTTTGGGACCTGCCTGACACAATACAGCTGGAACAACAGTTCTTTTAGTGACCATTCAAACTTACATCCTCACTGGAAAAAAATGACTTCTGACCATTTTTTCAGAGTTACAACCTTTGTAGCATCCCCCATGGTCAGGGAATCAAAATTCAGATGCTTGGCAACTGGATCAAACTTATGATTGTTGCTGTGTCCCAAGGTCGTATGATCATATTCTGTTTTTCAGGCATATAGGAGACAGAATCCGGTCTAATAGCTTGGGAAGCCCTATAATACAGGCAATGCTCGTAGC